GTAGGAACCCGGTTGTTAGTCAATTTGCGGATTACTTTTCCAATGAAAATCCTTTTTAAAAAAAAGAATATTTTGGTTATTCAATCTATAGCTGTTTGTGGGACACTGGCGGCTGCGTTTCGCCCACAAAATATACAGTCAATTCACTTTACAATATATTCTGTGAAGCGCTCTGAGACGTCTCTCCCACTGCGAAGTGCTCCGGGTGGAGGGCGCTATATAAATGCATGTTGTTGTGATGAGGCGCTATATCAAATGCAAGGATTATTATCTGCAAAACCACATCTGAGCATTGCATAACATCTGCAAAACTACTTCCCTGCAGTTGACCCCTTTCAGATGAGTGTGTCGGGGGCGGTGGGGGGGGGGGGGGGAGTGTCTTTTAGTTCCGTGTAAGTAAAAGCCAACAGAATACATGTCATCCTGTTACAGTCTATCCACCCAGCTGAAAGACTTACTGGTGTAAACAAGCATTTTCCCTATAAGCTTCTTAAAAGTGGTAAGAGTTTACAATTTTTCTGGTGGGGAGTTGGGTGGGGGGGTTGGAGCAAGATTTAATAAAAATAATGATAGTAATCTTTGCATTTGATATAGCGCCTTACCACGTTGTTGAGATATCTCAAAGCGCTTCGCAGAATATACGGTAATAATAATAATAATAATCCTTGAATTTGATATAGCGCTTTTCATGTCGGGAGGACATCCCAAAGCGCTTCACAGAATACACGGTAAAGGGGGTTGACTGTATTTTGTGGGCGAAACACGACAGCAAATTGCGCACAACAGTGTCCCACAGACAGTCATGGATTGAGCAGCCAAGTTTTCTTTTTTAGAGATGGTTACCCCCAGAAAGCGAGCTGCCAATTGACTAACAACCCGGTTCGTACTTACTGCCAGATAAACAGAGGCGTGCGGAGTAAGGAAACTTGCTTAAGGTTTTACCCGCCCGGGAATCGAACCCGGGTCGTTTCACTCGCAAAGCAAATGTGCTGACCACTACACTACCAGACTCCATAATATTCAAAGTGCTTCACAGAACATACTGTAAAGTGGATTGACCGTGCATTTTGTGGGTAAAATAAGGCAGCCAATTGCGCACAGCAGTGTCCCACAAACAGTCGTGAATTGAGTGACTAACATTTTTTTGAGGGATTATTAACTGCATGACCCAAAGTGCAGGCAATTTGGGCAAGCTCTCTGCAGTCTAAACATCTCACCAATTTTTCCTGGCTGGCAATGCCTCTCCAGTGAGCATTGGATGTTATGTACAGAAACCTTTCTCGCAGCTCCAACACACTATAATAAGGCAAAATGCTTTGAACACACCACAGAGCGTTTTGGTTATTTATGTCATTTCCTGGTAAGACTTGTCTTTTTCAAAATCATTATTATTAATATTATTATTGATAACATTTGCATATATTTCTGTCTTTGAAAAAGGAATCGATCTCTCTTTTTTTTAACATAAATCTTGTCTCACGCGCTCTCTCTCTTTTGCAATGCGTTAGAAACACAGTGCATTATAACAACTTTCGCTCTCTCGTTTTCTTTCTAATTCTGGCAATGTGGGCAATTGAGAAATAATGTTACCGTTATTAAAGATGCTATATATAAAATTCACAGCAGCTCGGGACAATATTGTCATCATATTGTGATCCCCCAATAATTGGAGTCAGGAAAAAATAAACAATTTTATTAAATATTATTTGGAATTTTTATCAACATTTTAGTAATTCACCCATTTCTTTCTTTCTTTCTTTCTTTCTTTCTTTCTTTCTTTCTTTCTTTCTTTCTTTCTTTCTTTCTTTCTTTCTTTCTTTCTTTCTTTCTTTCTTTCTTTCTTTCTTTCTTTCTTTCTTTCTTTCTTTCTTTCTTTCTTTTCACTGTCTCTTTTTCTATTTCTCGCTGTCGTTTATTTCTTTCCTATCCTTTTACTTTCTTTCTCTCTCTCTATTTCTTCCTCCCTTGATTTATTCACTGATTCCATCTGAGGGAAAGGGAGGGAGACCTGTACATTAATGGGGGGAAGTGAGAAGCCAATTGGCTTTGCGAATACCGGGGCTAGAGTTTGCGTGTAAAGGTTTCGCAACCCGTTTCTTGTGCTAATTAGCACCAGAGGTGTTGGCTTCGAGTCACATTAATCGCGATAAAAGTTGTGTGCAGTTTTTTTTAAAAAGCAATGTAATGATGTTTTAAAACTATTGTGTTTTTAAAGCTATTAATATTAATTATTATGATGATGATGAACAAAATAAAAATAAATATTAGTTGCACAATCATTTTTTTTTACAAAGGTGAGTAATACGATTTTACTAGGACCCCCAATTTGAAATTTTGCTTAGAAACGTCACTACACTTTGTAGTAAAATCTCCCTCCCCCCATACAAAAGGTGCTGTATTCAGTGTAAAGATTATTATTAATTTTTAGAAAAAGAAGTATAAATGTCTTGAAGTAATAATTGAAGAAACAGCAGTGCACCATTTAATGTCATTATTTTGGGTGAAATCATGACATGTGTTAATATTCAACAGCCTTTAACTATAATAATAATCCTTGTATTTGATATAGCGCCTTATCACGTCATTTAGATGTATCAAAGCACTTCACGGAATATACTGTAAAGTGTAGTGACTGCATATTTTGTTAGCAAAATGCGACACCCAATGGCATACAGCAGTGTCCCACAAACAGTCGTGGATTGAATAACCAAATTTTTTTGAGGGATAATTATCCCCGGAAGAGATCACCCAATTGACGAACAAGCAGGTTCCTACTTACTGCTGATAAAGAGAGGTGTGTGGAGGAAGGAAACTTGCCTAAGCTTTTGTCCCATCCGAAAATCAAACCCGGGTCCTCTTGCTTGTGAAGGGAGCGCTCTAACCACTTACCCTACCAGGCATTTGATATGGAATCTCATCACATTTTAGAGGTGTCTCAAAATGCTTCTGAGGATATACAGTAATGTTTAGTGACTGTGTGTTTTTGCAGGCGAAGGAGGCAGCCAATTTTGTACATAGTGATATCCTCCAAAAACAACCAGGAAGCGAATGTTCAATTTTATCTGTGTTGATCTGATTGTTGGTCGAAACAGCGAGAGAAACGCCCTACACTGAGCCTCAAACAGCCTTATGTTATTAAGCATTAAGCAACTGTTGTCTCTGAGATTAACCTGGCAGGAAGTAGGAACCCGATTGTTAGTCGATTGGCAGATCATTTTCCAGGGATAATAATCCTTCAAAAAAAAAAGTGGGCCACTCAATCCACGACTGTTATGGGACGCTGCTGTGCACAATTGTCTGTCGTGTTTTGCCCAGATAATACAGTCAATTCACTTTACAGTATATTATGTGAAGCGCTTTGAGATGTCTTGACAATGTGAGAAGGCTCTATATCAAATGCAAGCATTATATTTATTATAAACGTTAGGACAAGTTTAGCCACCAAGAACGAGACCCATGTTTCACTAACAATTTCAACCCTGTTTTGGGGTTTGGTTCTGAAAGAGTTAAAGCTTTTTACCTGTTATTTTTAATGTGTTTTTTTTGAGAAAAGGGAGGGGGCAAGGGATTTGATGACTCTGAGGCTGATCTCATCACTTCCTTTCTCCAATCCTGGTTTTCCCAGCTGGATGCAAAACTCCTTGTTTGGCAGAGGAACCCACCTCCAGTGGATGTGAGCCATGTAGTTTGTCCCAGGAGAGAAGAGAGAGAGAGAGCGGGAGAAGGGGTGATGATTAGAAACTTGCAAGCTCCGTGTAGAATAACAAGTGCTCTGAGATGCTGCTCCGTGATGGGCGCTACATGAATGCAAAGTTGTTGTTGTTATAAGGTCCATTTCCGCTGGGACTCGGACAGCTAGAGTGAGAGAAGAAGGAAGAGTGAGAGAGACGGAGGGAGGTTAGGGGAAGAGGCTAAGAGGAGAACATAATAATAATAATCCTTGCATTTGATATAGCGCATTATCACGTCTTCGAAACGTCTCAAAGCGCTTCACAGGATATACTGTAAAGTGAATTGACTGTATATTTTGTAGACGAAACATGGCGGGCAATGGATCACAGCAGTGTCCCTCAAACACTGGATTGAGTGACCAAATTATTAAATTAATTTTAAAATAGTTATTAAACATCACCCACCTTCTCACCATCTCTCCCTTCCACCTCCTCCTCTCCACCTCTCCTCCAGCTCCCCGCAGCCTATCTTCCCACCAGCTTCCTATCTCTTCCTTTCTCTATTCCCCCCTCTTTATTCTCTCCTTTTCCCCTTCTTTCCCACTCTCTCTGTCTACCCTTCTATCGTTCTTTCTCCAGTCCTCACTCTTTTTCCCTTTCCCTGCACTCCCCCTCTCTCTCCCCCTCTCTCTCCATCCCCTCCCCCAAAGGACAAATCACATATTTGCTAAATAACAGTCGACCTTCCCCAAACAATATAATATAATATATATACTAATAGAGATTTTAAGTCGATCTGCCTGGATTTGGGACCCCTGTTTTCTGAATTCTCAACTTTAGCTCTGCGATTTACGACCCAGAACAACCCTCCCCCCTCCCCTCTCCCCCTCCCCATCCCCCCCACCCCCAAACCATCGTGTCCCCCCACCCCTCCCCTAAGAAAACAGCTTGACATGTCAGTGTGTGTGTGAATGTGTGTGCTTCTCCCTCTCTCCAAAAGCTGATCCAATATTTAAGACACCCCCTCCTTCCCCTCTCACAACCTCCCCCCCCCCCCCCCCCTCACACACACCCACAACCCATCACCCATTTGGGATACGGAATCAATCGCTATTTGTGTGTGTGTGTTATTACTATACCAGTTCGCTGTTGTCTGGCCAGAGAATCCCATCGATCCCATATATATCTATAATATATATATATATATATGTATTATATGTTTCCCTAATATCGATCCCATATCTTAAGTGATGTACAAAAACACCCACACCACATCCACACCCGACACTCTTCCTCTCTCCTCTTTTGCTCTCGCCCCAAATAACATTAATAATATTAATGAATAATTGTCACGCTGTGAATACCAGTCAATTGGACGATCGAGAGAGTGAGAGAGAGGAGAGAGAGGAAAAGAGGAGAGAGAGGAGAGAGGAGAGAGAGAGAGAGTCGGGACGTTTGTAAAGCAAAACTCCCTACCGAAAAGCTGGGCTGATGTTTGCGATTCAGGACAACATTCCCCGAGTTGGCTTAGCTATGAAGGAAGAGCCCCCGGTCTCTGGGATGAACTGTGTCCGCTCCTGGATGCAGGCTGGCGGGATACTGGACGCCAACACCGCGGCTCAGAGGTAAGCAAACCCCCCGCCCCCCCCCCCCCCGACCCCGACCCCGCTCCTCTCCGCTGTGTTTTTACATCGCTGTGTGTGTTGAGAGGGGATGAGTGCAAATGCGTTGTTTTGCTCGAAATAAGGAGGACGAGCGTTTGAGTGCGGCTCCTCGGCTCTGCTCGAGTTCCCTGGACTGTGGCTCTCTCTCTCCCTCTCTCTCTCTCTGTGTCTGTATCTGTGTCTCTCTCTGTGTCTGTATCTGTGTATGTGTCTCTCTCTGTGTCTGTATCTGTGTATGTGTGTCTCTCTCTGTCTGTATCTGTGTATGTGTCTCTCTCTGTGTCTGTATCTGTGTATGTGTGTCTCTCTCTGTCTGTATCTGTGTATGTGTGTCTCTCTGTGTCCTGTATCTGTGTATGTGTGTCTCTCTCTGTCTGTATCTGTGTATGTGTGTCTCTGTCTGTATCTGTGTATGTGTATGTGTGTCTCTCTCTGTCTCCTCTGTCTGTATATCTGTCTGTCTCTCTGTGTCTGTCTGACTTTCTGTCTCTATCTGCCTCTCTTTCTCTGTCTCTCTGTGCTTGTGTGTGTGTCTCGTTCTCTCTGTGTGTGTCTGTCTATCTCTGTGTGTGTATCTCTGACCGCCGTCTCTCTCTGTGCCTGTGTGTGTGTTTATATCTCTCGGTCTCTTCGCTCTCTGTATCTGTTTCCTCTCCCCCTCTCCCCCTCTCTCTCTATCTGCCTTTCCCCACGTTCCGCATTAAGAGCCCATTTGGTGTTTGACAAACTCCGCACAGAAAACACTGCCGTCTCTCTCTCTGTATCTCTCTCTCTGTATCTCTCTATCTCTGTGTGTATCTCTCTCTGTGTCTTTCTCTGTGTCGCTGTATGTGTATCTCTCTCTGTTTATGTATCTCTCTCTGTCTCTGTGTGTATCTCTCTGTGTGTCTCTGTGTGTATCTCTCTCTCTCTGTGTATCTCTCTCTCTGTCTCTGTGTGTATCTCTCTGTGTGCCTCTGTGTGTATCTCTCTCTCTCTCTCTCTCTGTATCTCTCTCTCTCTGTCTCTGTGTGTATCTCTCTGTGTGTCTCTGTGTGTATCTCTCTGTGTGCCTCTGTGTGTATCTCTCTCTGTGTATCTCTCTCTCTGTCTCTGTGTGTATCTCTCTGTGTGTCTCTGTGTGTATCTCTCTCTCTGTGTGTATCTCTCTCTCTCTCTCTGTATCTCTCTCTCTCTCTGTGTATCTCTCTGTGTGTCTCTGTGTGTATCTCTCTGTGTGTCTCTGTGTGTATCTCTCTGTGTGCCTCTGTGTGTATCTCTCTCTCTCTCTCTGTATCTCTCTCTCTCTCTGTGTATCTCTCTCTCTGTCTCTGTGTGTTTCTCTCTGTGTGTCTCTGTGTGTATCTCTCTGTGTGCCTCTGTGTGTATCTCTCTCTCTCTCTGTATCTCTCTCTCTCTGTCTCTGTGTGTATCTCTCTCTGCCTCTGTGTGTATCTCTCTATGTCTCTGTGTGTATCTATCTGTGTGTCTCTGTGTGTATCTCTCTGTGTGTCTCTGTGTGTATCTCTCTGTGTGTCTCTGTGTGTATCTCTCTCTCTGTGTCTCTGTGTGTATCTCTCTCTCGCTCTCTCTGTGTGTATCTCTCTGTGTCTCTGTGTGTATCTCTCTCTCGCTCTCTGTGTGTGTGTATCTCTCTCTGTCTCTGTGTGTATCTCTCTGTGTGTCTCTGTGTGTATTTCTCTCTGTCTCTGTGTATCTCTCTGTGTGTCTGTGTGTATCTCTCTCTGTCTCTGTGTATCTCTCTGTGTCTCTGTGTGTATCTCTCTCTGTCTCTGTGTATCTCTCTGTTTGTCTCTGTGTGTATCTCTCTGTGTGTCTCTATGTGTATCTCTCTGTGTGTCTCTGTGTGTATCTCTCTGTATGTCTCTGTGTGTATCTCTCTGTGTGTCTCTGTGTGTATCTCTGTGTCTCTGTGTGTATCTCTCTGTGTGTCTCTGTGTGTATCTCTCTCTGTCTCTGTGTGTATCTCTCTGTGTGTCTCTGTGTGTATCTCTCTGTGTGTCTCTGTGTGTATCTCTCTGTGTGTCTGTGTGTATCTCTCTCTGTCTCTATGTGTATCTCTCTCTGTCTCTATGTGTATCTCTCTGTGTGTCTCTGTGTGTATCTCTGTGTCTCTGTGTGTATCTCTCTGTATGTCTCTGTGTGTATCTCTCTGTGTGTCTCTGTGTGTATCTCTCCCTGTCTCTGTGTGTATCTCTCTCTGTCTCTGTGTGTATCTCTGTGTGTCTCTGTGTGTGTCTCTGTGTGTCTCTGTGTGTATCTCTCTGTGTGTCTCTGTGTGTATCTCTCTGTGTGTCTCTGTGTGTATCTCTCGCTCTCTGTCCCTCTCAGTTTGTTGTCAGTCTGGTTCTGTTTCATTGCAGATCAGTTTTACACCTTGTTTTTTAAAAATATTTTATTAAAATAAAAGTTAGCTGTTCGGACTTTAACGCTCTCCCATCTCCTATTTTAATGTTGGAATGCGTTATTATTCGCTTTTCTCCTTTTTAACTTTCTTTCTTCCTCTCGCCCTTTCCTTCTTTCCCCACTGTCACTTACTTCGTCTTACTTTCTATTTCCCTTCTCTCTCTCTCTCTCTCTCTCTTCACTTCGCTATTTCCCTCTCTCTTTCCCTTTCTTTCCCACCCTCTTTCCCCTCTCTCTTCTCTTCTATCGTTCCCTTTCTCTTGTTCCCACTCTTCTCCCTCTTCCTTTCTCTTTCCCCAGTTTTCTTACCCCCCCCCCCCCTCTCTCTCCCTCTATTTTTCTTTCTCTTTCTCTGTGTCTTTCTCTCTTTCACTCTCTCTGCATATCTTTCTCTCTCCCCGTCTCTCTCTCCGTCTTTCTATTTTTCTATCTCGGCCTCTCTGTTTCTCTCTCTATCTTTCGCTCTCTGTTTCTTTCCGTCTATTCTTTCGTTCTCTCTCTCTATTTTCCCGTCTCTATATATCCCTCTCACTCTGCCTTTTTCTCTCTTTTCTGTATCTCTCTTTCTGGAGCGTTTGAGGCAGAGAGGTAGAGAGAGACACACACACAGGGAGACCCACACAGGGAAACAGAGACACACACATAGGGAGACAGAGACACACACACAGGGAGAGAGAGAGAGACACACACACAGGGAGAGACACACACACACACACACAGGGAGAGAGAGAGAGACACACACACAGGGAGAGACACACACACACACACACAGGGAGACCCACACAGGGAGACAGAGACACACACACAGGGAGAGAGAGAGACACACACACAGGAAGAGAGAGAGAGACACACACACACAGGGAGACACACACACACACACACACACACCCACAGGGAGAGACACACACACACACACACAGGGAGAGAGAGAGAGACACACACACAGGGAGAGACACACACACACACACACAGGGAGACCCACACAGGGAGACAGAGACACACACACAGGGAGAGAGAGAGACACACACACAGGAAGAGAGAGAGAGACACACACACAGGGAGACACACACACACACACACACACACCCACAGGGAGAGACACACAGGGAGACAGAGACACACACACAGGGAGAGAGAGAGAGACACACACAGGAAGAGAGAGAGAGACACACACACAGGGAGACACACACACAGGGAGAGAGAGAGAGACACACACACACACACAGGGAGAGACACACACACACACACAGGGAGAGAGACACACACACACACAGGGAGAGAGACACACACACACAGGGAGAGAGACACACACACACACAGGGAGAGAGACACACACACAGGGAGAGAGACACACACACAGGGAGAGAGACACACACACAGGGAGAGAGACACACACACAGGGAGACACACACACACACACAGGGAGAGAGACACACACACACAGGGAGACACACACAAACACACACACACACAGAGGGAGAGATACACAGGGAGAGACACACACACACACACACACACACAGGAGAGAGACACACACACACACACAGGAGAGACACACACACACACACACACACACACACACAGGGAGAGAGACACACACACAGGGAGAGAGACACACACACAGGGAGAGAGACACACACACAGGGAGACACACACACACACACACACAGGGAGAGATACACAGGGAGAGAGAGAGAGAGAGACACACACACACACACAGGGAGAGAGACACAGATTCGCTTTCTACACTTTAACGTCCTGTTAACTTTTAAGATCAGTTGCAAATTATCTTTCACCAGTTACTGTTTGCAGTGAAAGTGTCAGTCTGGCACAGACCGGGGTTTCATTCCACATCGCTAAATATAGACGTTTTATATGTAAAAAAAATCAAAACATAAAAAACTACTTTAATTTATGTTGTACTATCATAAACCCGCTTGACCGGGATAATCTCTCTTAATATAAAATATATTTATATATATATAAATACCCTGGATAACCTGGGATTTGACAAGTCAATCTGATCCCCAAATAGTGTTTAGAAATGTATTTTTTCTCCATTTAAGTTTCTAAATTGGATTCATATAAAATTAAGGACATGTTTAGCCTGAAATATTACACACACAAACTGTGGATTACTGTGTACAATGATGTCCCGGTTTATTTTCTGAGAGGGGTTTTGGAGAGGGGGAGAAATACATAGTGAGATAGGAAGATAGATAGAGAGAGTGAGGAGAGAAAAAGAAAGTTGGGGTGGGGGGGGGGGGTGGCGCACACAGAGAGACAGACACACAGTTCGAGAAAAAGACTGGAGAGAGAAGAGAAAGAAAGAAACAAAGACAGAGAGAGAGAGAAAAAGACAGAGAGATGAAGGAAGAGACAGAAAGAGAAAAAGCAGAGGAAGGGAGAGAAAAACACAGGGAGGTGAAGGGAGAGAGGGAAGGCAGAGAGGGCAGGGAGAGAGATGGGGTGGAGAGGGGGAGAGGCAGAGAGGGTAGGGAGAGAGATGGGGTGGAGAGGGGGAGAGGCAGAGAGGGCAGGGAGAGAGATGGGGTGGAGAGGGGGAGAGGCAGAGAGGGTAGGGAGAGAGATGGGGTGGAGAGGGGGAGAGGCAGAGAGGGTAGGGAGAGAGATGGGGTGGAGAGGGGGAGAGGCAGAGAGGGTAGGGAGAGAGATGGGGTGGAGAGGGGGAGAGGCAGAGAGGGTAGGGAGAGAGATGGGGTGGAGAGGGGGAGAGGCAGAGAGGGTAGGGAGAGAGATGGGGTGGAGAGGGGGAGAGGCAGGGAGAGAGATGGGGTGGTGAGGGAGAGGGGGGAGGCGGACAGAGAAGGGGGAGACAAGAGGGGAAAGGGAAGGGAAGCGAGGGAAGACTGTACTGGGTGTGGGTTGGGGTGGGGGCTTGGGGCTGGGGTGTGGGCTGGGCTGGGTTGGGGTGTGGGATGGGGTTGTGGGGTGGGGGTGGTTTGGGGTGGGGGTATGGGGTGGGGTTGGGTTGGGGGCTGGGGTGTGGGCTGGGCTGGGGTGTGGGGTGGGGGCTGGGGCTGGGGGTTGGGGTTGGGTGGGGTGTGGGGTGGGGGTGTGGGGTGGGATGGGGGTGGGCTGGGCTGGGTGGGGGTATGGGGTGGGGGTGTGGGCTGGGGTTGGGGTTGGGTGTGGGCTGGGCTGGGGTGTGGGCTGGGGTGGGGTGGGCTGGGGTGTGGGCTGGGCTGGGGTGTGGGCTGGGGTGGGGGTTGGGTGTGGGGGTGTGGGCTGGGCTGGGCTGGGGGTGGGGGCTGGGGTGCTGGTAGCCTGCTGACCCCGGGCTGTCTCCCCTCTCTGCCCGCAGTGGGGTGGCTCTGGCCCGGTCACACTTTGAGAAACAGCCGCCCTCCAACCTCCGCAAGTCCAACTTCTTCCACTTTGTGTTGGCGCTGTATGACCGTCAGGGCCAACCCGTGGAGATAGAGAGGACCGCCTATGTGGACTTCGTGGAGAAGGACAAGGTGGGCTTCCCCACTCCTTCCTTCCTTGCTTCCTTGCTTCCTTCCTTTCTTTCTTTCTTTCTTCCTTCCTTTCTTTCTTTCTTTCTTTCTTTCTTTCTTTCTTTCTTTCTATCTTTCTTTCTTTCTTTCTTTCTTTCTTTCTTTCTTTCTTTCTTTCTTTCTTTCTTTCTTTCTTTCTTTCTTTCTTTCTTTCTTTCTTTCTTTCTTTCTTTCTTTCTTTCTTTCTTTCTTTCTTTCTTTCTTTCTTTCTTTCTTTCTTTCTTTCTTTCTTTCTTTCTTTCTTTCTTTCTTTCTTTCTTTCTTTCTTTCTTTCTGCCTCCCTCCCTCCCTCCCTCCCTCGCTCTCTCTCTCTCCACTCATCTTTTTCTATCTATCTTTCATTCATTTCTTTATTTCCCCTCCTTTTACTTTCTTTCTCTCTTTCTCCCTACCTTGAATCAGTTATTTATCTATTTCTTTCATTTTCTTTCCCTTTTTTGCTTCCTTGATCTATTTCTTTTTTCCCCCCTCTCTCTCTCTCGTTTTGACCCGCTCCACTCTCACTCTCCTCTCGTTTCCCTTCGTTTTCTCACTCGACTCCTTCCTTCTCTTCTCTAAAGTCCCCTCTTTCCCTTTCACATTCCCCCCATCCTTTTACTGTCAGTACATTATACCCAGAGCCTAACACTGCGCTTCACACCCAAGGTCACACTTAATTTTAAACTGAAATCCCAGTGGCCAGTAACAAATTGCAAGTATATGCTACTAATTTACAATAAACATTAATATATATATATATATTTGCACAGGAACAAGCTGGGGAAAAGACAAACAATGGAGTACATTACAAGTTGCAACTTCTGTACAGCAATGGTAAGAAACTGTGACACATGTCTGTCTGTCTGTGTGAAAGATTCTCACTTTGCTGTGTATAATGGTTAGAGCATTTGTCTGGCAAGCGAGAGGACCCGGGTTCGATTCCCAGGCCGGGCGAAGCATTAGGCAAGTTTCCTTACTCCGCGCACCTCTGTTTATCCAGCAGTAAGTAGGAGCCCTGTTGTTAGTCAATAGGCGGATTACTTTTTGGGGGTAATAATCCCTCCAAAAAAATGTGGTCACTCAATCCGCAACTGTTCGTGGGACACTGCTGTTCGCAGTTGGCTGCCGTGTTTCGCCCACAAAATATACAGTCAATTCAATTCATATTACAATATATTCTGTGAAGCGCTTTGAGGAGTCTCAATGATGTAATAAGGTAATATATCAAATGCAAGGATTATTATTATCTGTGTGGGTGTGTGTGGGTGAGGGTGGGGGTGCATGTCATTTAAAGCACTTATACATAATTCCAATTGACAAATTCAGTGAAAGTTAAAGTTACGCCAAATAAACATTTTCTATTTAATATATCTTTTGGGTTGGGGAAGGGGCAGGCGTTACACTATATTTAAGGTATAGTGCAGCTGCACAATAACATAGTCATTACATTCCAGTAAATTCCGTGAAACGCTTTGAGATGTCCCAATGCTCCAAATTCATAGAATCATGGAATCATAGAAATTGAATTGCTTTCATAATGATAATTATAATCCTTGCATTTGATACAGCACTTTAGCATGTTGTGAAACCGTCTCAAAAAGTCCTTCATAGGATTTTCTGTAAAGTGTAGTGACTGTGTATTTTTGCAGGAGAACGTGGCAGCCAATTTGCACACAACAGCAGCCCACAAACAGTCTTGGAAGTCAGTGATGAAAATTTAATCAGAGAGAAACTCACATTTTGTTTATCCTTGATATACTTTGGTTGGAACATCAAACTGACATCTCGTCTGTGCCTGTTCACATGAACGTTAAAGATCCCTCAGCACTATTGGAAAAGAGAAGAGAAGGGACTTACTCTGTCTGTTTTTTTGTGGCCAACAATCCCCCAAATAAAATTGATCATTCACTTCAGGGCATCGTTCACTGTTGGACATCACCGTGTGCAAATTGGCTGTATCTTTCGCCTACAAAACACACAGTCACAATAGTTTACAATAAATCCTGTGAAGCGCTTTGAGATGTCTTCCTGACATGAAAGCTGTGATATTGAATGCAAGGATTATTATTATTTTTATGCTATTACAGTTTAAATCACTGTGTAGAGGTAGTTTCTAAGTGTTTTTCAGTGATGGTCAGCCAGACCAATAACACTGCCACGTGACATATGAATAGATGTTACTTTTATTAATATATTTAAACTTCATAAAATAGCTACTGTTAACAGGAGGTTGATATTTTGTTAACCAGGTATGTTGTCATGCCATTTCTGAATAATCTTATTAACAGTCCCAGCTGCACTGATGATTATAGGAACTATGTTTGTTTTCTACTGCCACATAAGTCCACTTTCAATTTGTAGATCAATATATTTCCTGATCTTCTCTAGTTTCTTATTTCTTACATTGTAATCACTTGGGATAGCTGCATCAATAATACTACATGCCTTTATTATCATTAGTATCATTATGTTATTGCATTTTAAATCACTCTATTGGGGTAACTTCTTAATAGTTTTCAGTGATGGGTCAGCCAGACCAATAATACTGACATTTAAATGGGAATAGGTGTTACTTTTCTTAATATATTTGAGCTTCTTAAAATATCTATTTTTAACTGGAGGCTGATATTTAGTTTACCAGACATTGTGTCAAGCCATTTCTGAATAATCTTATTAACTATTATACATTATTATTATTAAAGGGACCCGGACTCTATATTGTATGTTCAGAATCCCTGTTACTCAAGCGCTTGATTCTCAGATAATAACCCCATTGAATTGTGCGAGGCTATCACCTTCAGTTTGCTGTGTGTGGAGTATCTGCTATTTCTGGTTTGTAAGCCTTAGTGGAATGAAAAACAAACCGTTTATCCTTTGTAAAAGTGAAGAGGTTAAAAAAATCAGCGATAAAGTGTTGAACGCAGAGTGGAATGGGAGGATGTTTAACTTTGTTTTAGGAAAAGTAATTACTCAAAAGGAAAATATATTTAGTGGAAGAAGGAATTAGGAAATGGCAGAGAGGAGAACTTCCAGGAGATGCCCTGAAAACAGCTGTGGTTGTGAAATTGGCTATCATAAAGTATAGCATGCTTCTACTTACAAATACACTGACAAATAAAATAATAATCATCCTTTCACCATGGGAGGACATCTCCGAGCTATTCATGGGATTTTACTGTAAAGCGGAGTGAAAGTGTGTTTTGTGGACACAGGAACGTTCCACAAATAGCCCCACATAGCCAGATATAGACAGTCCCTCTACTTAACAATGATTACCATAAAGCGCTCTGAGATATCAACATCAGCATCAATTTACACCTACAGCATATATACAGCCTTCCTCGTAGAGAGGACGTCTCAAAGTGCTTCATCCGTTTGTATTTCAAGGTCCCTGTCAGATGTACAATGTGAAAATAATATTAGCAATTGCAAACAGACCGAAATTTGTATCTGGGGAATTATGGGCCAGGACACTGGAAAAGAGGAACTCCCTTTTCCCTTAATGTAAGCTAATCGGGGAATTTTGGTGTAACACATCAGTGGATCAAAAAAGCACTAAGCCGTGAATTTCCATTTCATTTTTGTCTCTGTCTTGGTTTCCACAGGAATCCGAACAGAGCAGGATGTATATGTTCGGCTGATCGACTCCATGACCAAACAGGTAAGAGGATTTCTTAATTGTGGGATGCTGGATTTTCACATCAGAGTGTATTGGAGTCTTGTGTGCAGTTGTGGTCACCACATTACAGGAAGGATACTGTAGCATTGGAGAGAGAGAGAGAGAGGGGGGACAGTGTAGATTTACAGGGATGTTCCCAGGGAGGAGAGGACACAGCTATCAGGAGAGCGTGCACAAGTCCAAGCTTTTCTTTCTGGAGTTGACAGGGGACCTGATCAAGGGCTTTAAGGTTTGAAAGGATTTGATAAGGTGGACGTTGATGGGCTGTTCGCACTTGTTGGTGAGTCTATAACTAGAGGCTGTAAATATAAGCTCATCAGTAACACATCTCAGGGATGGAACTTTAGGAAAAACTTCTTCACACAGAGGCTGGTGAGAATGTGGACCTCACTGATCAGAGCTGTGGTTGAAGCAGAAAGTATCAACAACAACAACTTGCATTTATATAGTGCCCTTCACACGGGTAGCATCCCAGAGCACTTGGCAGTGGCAGAGTCTGACCTCGAACCAAGGAAAGAGAGAAAGTGGAGGTGACCATAAGCATGATCAAAAAGGAAGGTCCTTAAGCGGAATTTGATAGTGGGGACAGAGGGGGCAAAGCGGAGTGATTGAAGGGGAGAGCTCCAGAGCTTTGGGGTGTAGTGGCTGAAAGCATGGCTGCCGCCAAGCTGATGCAGCAGGTGGTGGAGTGGGGGGTAAGCAGATCGGATAGGTAGGGAGGTGCGAGGGCATGAAGGGATTTGAAAACGAGTACGAGAATCTTGAAGTCGATCTGTTGGGTAATTGGCATCATATTCAAGAGGTGGAGTCCTGTAAAGTATTGGTTAGCGCTTTGCAAATGAGAGGACCTGGGTTTGATTCCCAGGAACGATAAAACCTTAGGCAAATTTCCTTACTCCACACACATCTATAAGTAGGAACCTGGTTGTTAGTTGATTGGTGGATCGTTTTCTGGGGGTAATAATCCCTTAAAAAAAAATCCACAACTGTTTATGAGACGCTGCTGTTTGCAAATTAGCTGCCGCGTTTTGCCCACAAAACACACAGTTAATTCACTTTATAGTATATTCTGTGAAGCGCTTTGAGACGTCTAAAGGACATGATAAGGCGCTATAGCAAATGCAAGGATTATTATAGGATTATTAGCGCTCCCTCATCTAAACTAGCTAAATCCCCACGCCTCCTCCACCCCCCACCCCACCCCCCCCACAATTCATTAAAGATCTCCCTCCCTCTCTCCCTCTCTCCCTCCCTCCTTCTGGTCAACAATCCCTCAGATAGAATTAGTTATTCACTCCATGGCTACTTGTGGGATGTTGCTGTGCGTATTTTTCTACAAAATACACAGTCACTACACTTCACAGTAAATCCTGGGAAACGCTTTGAGATGTCCTCCTGACATGATAGGCACAGTATCAAATGCAAGGAATATTATAAGAGATTGCTGATATAACGGGAGCTGCTCTCTGGTGACTAACCCTGCGCACAACCTCTCATCCGCTCACAGCACTGCGGTATTCAATCCCGACGGGAAGTGTAAAAGAGATGCTCACATTTCTAGCTCGCTTCTTATGGTATTTTTTTTCCCCAGACCTGGGAATTACAGCACATTTCTGCTGTGAAATAATGCTCCAATCTCCTCCGGTCCCAATTCCTTGCTCTTTCCCTCCGCTCACCTTCAATCTTCTTCCTCTCCTGCCTTGCCACAGCTCCGTGAGAACATTTTTACTGAACAATTTCAGGCAGCGGGGATAATGACAGTTTGGAGATTTTCCATGAATCTATGTCTTCTTGAGTTTTAAGACAAAATCCTGGGTAGAGGCAGGGAGAGACACACTAATCCCGGGTAGAGGCAGCCATGGAGTAATAATAATAATCCTTGGATTTGATATAGTGCCTTATTGCATTGTTCATATGTCTCAAAATGCTTCACAGAGTATTCTGTGAAGTGGATTCACTGTATGTTTTGTGGGCAAAACCCGGCAGCTAATTGCACACAGCAGTGTCCTACAAACAGCCGTAAATTGAATGACCACATTTTTTTTTGGTGGGGTTATTACCCCCAAAAAGCAATTCGTCAATAGACTAATAATCAGGTTCCTACTTACTGCTAGGTAAACAGAGGCGAGTGGAGTAAGGAAACTTGCCTAATGTTTCATCCTACCCGGGTATTGAACCTGGATCCTCTCGCTTGTGAGGCGAGTGCTCTAACCACTACAATACAGGACACTACCCTCTCCCTCCTATAGCCAAGGGAGAAGGGAATTGAGAGGAATACAGGAAAAGGGAATACAGCAGAATAGGAGAGGAGAATAGACCTCTCTCGTGTGGAGTATAAACACCGGCACAGACTAGCTAGGCTGGACGGCTGTAATGTTCTATGCAAATTAATTGTTGACTTCATGCCTGCAGTTAGTTAATATTATAACAATAATCCTTACCCTTGATAGCGGCTCTCACATTGAAAGGACGTCTCAAACTGCTTCCCAGGATTTTACTGTGTAATGTAGTGACTGTGTGCGTTTTGAAGCGCTTTGAGATACGTTCTGACGGTATTGGCATGGTTTCTCTGGTTTAGAAAGTTGGAGGCACAGAGCAGTGTAAGACGTGCTAGCTTAATGTTGTAACAGACAGAGAGAAACACAGAAACACACAACACTAGCTAATTAACACGCAAATTCAGTGCATCATTTGTATCCAAAGTGTGGTCTCACTCTGGTAACAGCAGCTGAGCGTATTTTAAAGGCAGCTAGAGGCACAGTTATAGGCATGCAGTGTGCCCACAGACAAAGTCTGTAAGGGGCTAATTTGAGAGATCTGCACAACATCAGCGCTTGGACTTGCAGTTTTTCTTCACAGGAATTGACTGTATATTTTGTGGGAGAAACGTGACGGCAAACTGTCCCACAAACAGTTGTGCATGGAGTAACCAGATTATTGTTTTATTTTGGAAGGATTATACCCACTATACTACAAGATTCCATGATATCTCAGAGTACATCACAGAGTATACTGTAAAGTGGATTGACTGTATTTTGTGGGCGAAACACGGTAGCCAATTTTTGACAGGGCAGGTCCGGCTGGGTCCGAGTTCCGTACCTGGAGTTCGATAAACAAGGTGTTTACGTATTTTGTATTGTATTTAAAAAGGATGTGTAACTAACATTTTACCGGGTATATCACACAGAGCTACTGTACTTATTAACATAGGAACAGGGTAGGCTATTGAGCCCTCTAGCCTGTTCCGCCAATTTATTAGATCATGGCTTATCTGTACATCAACTTCACTTACCTGCCTTTGCTCCATATCTCTTGATACCATTGGCTAACAAAAATCTATCTACCTCTGTCTTGAAAATTATTCATTCCCTTCATGGCTGTTTGTGGGAAATTGCTGTGTGCAAATTGGCTGCCACGTTCGCCTATGAATTACATACTTTTCCTTGTGAAATTCTTTGAGCTATTTTGCCATTACAGATGTAGTATCAAGTGCAAGTGCTGTACAGTGTATGGAGTCTTGTTATAATGTGGTGTTTGGAATTGCAACAAGTTGGATTGCATATCTGCACCATTGACTGATTCCATGCCCCGACTATCTTGTGCTAAAAGAAAAAAAAGGACAACTCCCAGATCAGTGGGTCACTGCCATCGTCACCTCCCATTGACCGCACAGGTGCAAAGCTGGAGGTCCTTTCAGCAGTGACCCGACGATCTGGACATACAAGTTGGACATTTGTTTCTTTGCGTGACAAGCAAAATTGGCTGACTTCTGGGTCATAAGGTCTTCACAGACTTCACTTTCTGTTTGCTCACGCAGCAAAGCAGGAAGTGGCAATGACAGTGACCTAATGATCTGGAAGTCAGCTATTTTAGCACAAATGCTTATTCTTGTTATTCTTATTATCAATTGACCGGATTAATGTGGGATGGACAATGACCGCTGGTGGCATTGTCACTGAGCTCCGCCTCGAACTTCACCCAATGTCTGGACATGAGCCTGAAATCTAGGAAGAGAAGAGAAACAACCAACACTGTCACGTAGGTCAATGTCTCAAAGCCTTCACAGGGATTGTACTGGAACCTGGGAAATTGAGGGGTGGAGTGGATGCGGCACATGGAGGGGGAGAAGGGGAGAGAGAGGAGAAGATGGATTTGACTGAGGACATGGTTAAAGAAATGCCGGAAGTTTTCCAAAGACGGGGAGCTCTGAACAGAAGGTGCAGTAGCTGAAAGCTTGGCCACCAATGGCAATGCAGAAATGCACTCCGCACAGGTCAAACAATAATAATAATCTTTACATTTGATACAACAACAACAAATTACATTTGTATAGTGTCTTTCACGTCAAGAGGCACTTCACAGGATATACTGTAAAGTGAAGTGACAGTGCATTTTGTAGGTGAAACATTCTCAATGGTAAGCTGTGCAGTTTTAGCTGGTTAGACTCCAGCAGTTATCCCAACCCACACTCTGGGGTCCCCAAGCCTTGGCTCTTGCCAACCTGTGCCTAATACTCTCCGGAATTATGTACACAGGGTGCGTCCATCTGGGGGAGAGGGATAGAGTGCACATTCCATTTGCAGACACAGAGAAAGTTTGTAGAGTAGGTGGCATGAATATAATGATAATCTTGCATTTAAGTGTCTTTCATGTTTGGAATACCTTTCAAAGTGTTTCACAGGATTTATCATAAACTGTAGTGACTGTGTTTTGTAGGCAAAAAGAGCAGCCAATTTGCTCCGTGAGGAACTCTCAGCTTGAGTCTCATTCGCAGTCTGGTTTGGAGACTTAATAATAATAATAATCCTTGTATTTGATAAAATACCTTATCATGTCATTGAGATGTCTCAAAGTGCTTCACAGGCTATACTGCAAAGTAAATTGACTTTATATTCTGTGGGTGAACCACATCTGGATGTGAAGCACATCTATAGTCCTGTAGTGCAGTGGTTACGCATTCGCTTCGCCAGCGAAGGATTCGG